TGGGTTGCTTTCGGATTTTATTGAGGCAAAAAAATAAAAACAAATAATTCAAGAGAAATAATATGTAAACTTAAAAATAGTTATTATATGAATACTAGAAAGAGGTTTCGATAATTCTTGTACTAATTTGGTATGTTCCAATTACTGCACTACGAAGAAATTAGCGGTACTACGCAACTTAGTGGTGAAGTTACAGTTTCTGAAGATCTTTGGCTGAAGGGGAAACTAGTGTTACTTAGCATAATGACGGACGGGATTGTTACCTTGCTCACTATCCGTTAGGTGCTAGAAGTAGTACGGCATCCCTGAGACCTTTTTGTTTGCTCCTGCGTATTTCTCTTCTAGAATATCTTCCTGTCGAAGATCACGCCCAAATACTTGACCCGGTGAGAGGGCAAAAGTGGCGCGCAGTATTTCCTGGATTAAGAGCAATTCCGCCGCGAGCAGACCAATTAGAGACTAATGAGCCTGAACAAGCCTGGATTAGGATGAATTTTAATATTTGTTTTGTGATAATAAAAATGATCTGGGTCCTCGAATTTCTAAAAATATTGAAATGCCAGCTAAATGCTTCCCCACTTTGATTCTAAGTAGACTCTTAGAATTCTCTTATCCAAAATTTCGGACATATCTGAAGTTGACGCTTTAGTAAGCCTTTTCAGTAAACCTTGCTGGAAACTTTTTCGAAAATTCCAAAAATAATTGCAGTAGTCCAAACTAGTTTCAAAATGTGCACCAAAGATTTTCACTCGAAGTATATTCACCCCACTGTGCCACAATGTCACTACCAAAAGCGGTAAAGTTTTGACCACGTGGCTCGCAACTTCGCTTGTGCTGGATATATCTGCATACATATGTACATACGAATATGTCTGCTGTATACGTATACAAATGTTTCAGCTGTGTTCGGTCAAGGTTAACTGTCGCAGCAGCACATGTGCAACAACACAAAGCCACAGCCATGCATATTCACTTAAATTTGAATTGAATGGTTTGTTTGCACATTCTCACACCATTACTCAAACAAAGTAGCCGACCAAAACTCCAGCTATTTCTTGCAACTTTTTGCGCCAATCGCAAAAAAAAAACATTTACAGATTTTAGTACCGGAAATGGTGAAAATGGAAAATCTCACCAAGTGGTCGCGACCAACTGTGACCACACACGCACGCACACACACACACATACACACATGTGCTGCAGGCGAAATAGATAGCACCGTAAGTGGGAGTTTGTAAGCAGCTGAGCTTAGGCACCCATGTCCATTTATGTTGGCTATATGTACTTGGCTGTATGTGTTGAGTAAAAGTTTGCACTAAGCTCGTTGCAATTATACCGAAACAACGATAGATTGCGTCCATCCACCGCATAAGGCAACTTAATCATAAAGCGCAGTTGCTGCTGCGGATCATTTGTGGGCTGTGTGGTTGTGTGCAGATTATGTGATTCTAAGTGTGTGGGCAGGCATTTTGTGGTCACCTCAATGTCTGCATGTGGCCATTAATTGTTGCTGAATAAAAAGGAAAACAGTGTTTTTTTTTTTGCATCTTAATCGCTTTTAAATCTGTTGCAATATTTATTGGTGGTATTTGAACATGAAAGTGTTATAATGAAAAATGAATGCATTGCTTGCACCTAGGTTTACACTCATATATATATATATATATGTACATATTTACTGCTTTATGCACTGGTTTATATTAGCTGTGATGTACATTCATATATTTTATTAACACAAACACATCTTTAATTGAATGCCATGTTTATTTATTCTTTGAACTTAAAGGACTTTAATTTATGAGATAATCTTAAAATGTTATTGTAAGCAATCAATTTCGATCGAATTAAGGAGAAACCTAAATTGGCAATTACGGAGATAGAGTTTTCAAAATAGGCAACATATCTAGCGGTGAAACTAAATAAAAGACATAACTTGAATTCAGGTCTCAAAATGGCTACCAAGAAAGCCACAAAGACGTATTTCTATTCCTATCTCTATTCCTATGCCTATTCCTATTCCTATTCCTATTCCTATTCCTATTCCTATTCCTATTCTTATTCCTATTCCTATTCCTATTCCTATTCCTATTCCTATTCCTATTC